AAATTTCCTTACACCACTTTCGACCAAACCCATAACTTCACCTTCATAACCCTCATATATTTCTCTATCTTTCCTTTTCATGTGTTACCCTTTTTGACAACAAGTTCTTCCCGAACCCTTCATAAATGAAAATATTATCAAACGAGTTCTAATTTCTCATGTGCAATGAACCGTCCTAATTGTTAGAAGTCACTGATGATGCTTGACAATTATTGACAGGTATCCTTACATATGTATAAAAAGACATTTGTAATGAAACAGCCTTTTGACTTCAATGGCAATGCCTTTGTTTGTTAATCATTGGCAAATTTAAATGCATATCATTGTCCTTTATTACTATAAGAAAGAGAGATAACAGAAGTCAACCAGGCATTTGAAAATTGCAATCTCTTTTGAAACAAAACAAGTCTAATGGGGCCAACCAAAACTCACCCAAACCAACATCTCTACTTCCCAAAACTTATATGTATAAAAAATTTAATTCAGTTTCATCTCAAATATGGAAGTACATTGTAGGCTTGTAACAGTACCTTCCCCTTTCCCTTTCCCAAAGATGTGTGCCTTTTCAGTTGCATCATCCCCCCTTCTCTCTCTCTCCCAACTCTCTTTTATTTACATATATACTCCCAATACAGAAGTGAAAACAAAAAACAGGTCTTCCAGCAGATATTATAGCAGAATCAATATATTTTAGTATTGTGTCATACCATACGCATCCAACGGCAGAATCCCAAGTGAAATCCTGAGCCAAAGAATCACTGAAGAATTGTCAGTTGAAACAAGCATGAGAATATTAGGTTGTCTCAGATATTCACGGTATTTTAAAGTATGAGAAGAGGCTTACAATCCCATTGCCTATCACGGGTCTCCTTTGTAGCTGTACTTGTAGTCTCCCAGCAATGCAGTCTAGAGCACATAAAACCTTACTCTATAAGTAATAGGCCCAAGAAAAGGATTCTACAAGGGCATAACATCACATCTAATAGCCTTCTTACACATTGAGAACCAGCAAGTGGCCTTAAAATTGCAAAAATTATGCTTCATTTTTTTAAAAATTTTCATCTCTTTCCAACTCTTGGCTTAGCTTATGAATGGAAGAGTGAACGGATACATAGTATTCAAGATTTACAACTATTTCACATTCATTGCCGCTGCCATATTCCTTAGCTTCTGAGAAATTTCTGAAAATGATGGTCTCATAGCTGGTTCAGAGTCCCAACAGCTTGACATTAAAGCCTTCCATTCAGGGTCGCACCATGTCGGGATTTCTGGACGTAAAGAATTATTTACAATCCCTCCTGCAAACAAAGAAAAAGGATGACACTGGGAAAACAGAACTTTTATTGGCCTACTTTGAATATTGCCCTTTCAATTGTTTGGTACCTAGAAGGAAAGCCTTCAGTGATTGGTTGACTATGGACCTATTTGCCAGTCTTAAGTCTTGATAGTTACTTATTTAGGTTCTCTCTAATTCAAAACCCCTTTTGAATTGTAGGACATATACCTTACATAGGTAGTTACTATGATTTGAACTTTTCAATCACAAGCTATCTTTGTTTACTCTGCTTTTGTACGTGTTTTTGTACTTGAAAGCTTATTTTTTTCCCTGGCAGGAACTAAATGTGGAAGACTAAAATCGAAAATCAAATTACAAATAGCTCAAGAGACAAGATAAAATTGAGGTTTTGAAATTCCAATGCTCATTCTTGGGTCTTTTGTTGGTGGCTTTTGGTTTTTCTCAATTTTCATTCTTATTCAGTCTCATTTTATTGTACCTCGTTGAGCGTGTCCTTTTCTTGTATTTCCTTTTTATTTTTCTATCTTGTTTTTCCTTTTTATTTTTCTATCGCACTTTGGGGACTTGTATCCTGAACAATTTTACATTTATCAACGAAAATTACTTATTGTTTAACTGAAAAGAAAAAAAAAATTACAACTCCACAGGGCCAAAACCATACTTGATCCTACTAGATTACATTCCAAATAAGATAAGAGAGCATAAATTTACACTCATAGTTCAGTACTCACCGATTATGGAAGCACAATGCATATCCGCATACGGTTCATCACCAGTAAGCAGTTCCCACATAACAATCCCGAATGAGTAAACATCAATCTGTATTCCAATAAATTATGTCTAAAATGCTAAATACTGTAGAGATAAGGTAGTTAAAACAAAATGCTAAGGTTGACACTAGGATGATGAGCTTACCTTCTCTGTCACCATGTTACTTTTCCCACTAAGAAGCTCCGGTGCCATCCATGGCAGAGTTCCACGAACGCCTCCTGATACTAATGTGTGTTGTCTTACCTTTGACAATCCCAAATCCCCGATCTAAAACATCATGCACACAGCACGTGAGCATCGAATTATACAACCACAACCAAAATTCCCCTCCCCCCCTCCATTTTTTTCTTTTAAGCAGTGGTGGAAGGAAATTTGTTAAAAGAAAAACTTCTTCAATCATTAGCCTCATAAAAAATGGATATCCGATCAGCTATACATCCAAAAAGTTGAAAGTACAGAATAGAATAAAAACAATGCATTTATGGAAGCCCACAGGTCCCAACAGTTATTACGGAAAAGGCATTAATATTCACAGACAAATTTAGCTCATCATACCTTGCAAACAGGCCTCTGTGGATCTCTCATATTCACTAAAAGATTTTCACATTTCAAATCAAAATGTACAATATTCTTCCCATGCAAATATTCCATCCCGAATGCAGCATCCATAGCTATAATGAGTCTTTTCCGACGATCAATGGTCCTATGAAAAGGTAGTAGAGAATTATGTCATATCACAATCCCAGTAGGGCCCACTATCAGAACCCTTTAACATGGAATACATTCGATGATTTAAGAAAGTGAAAATAAGAACCACTCCGCCACAATTTACCTGTCCTTCTTGTGCAAAAACTGTTTCAATGATCCATTTACCATGAACTCAGTCACTGTTGCTAAGGACCCATCAGGACCATCACGGACAATTCCATAGAAGGAAACAACATTTGGATGGTGTAAAGAACTTAATATCAAAGCTTCCTTCCAAAAATCCGCAATCTGTCACAGGAAAGAAGTCAAAATCAATATCCATGTGTATTCCACCAACACACTGAACAGATTCGATCAGAAGTTCATATGGAAAGAAATGTCACAAAGCTGGTCAATATTTGGTTTTCATGGACTAAACATTAAACCACAAATAACAAATTTCCAGCATGACACGGATCAAGTATTTCATTCAATTGAACTATTAATGCTTAGTAAAAGGAAGAGCAATAAGTTCAAGATTATACCAAACGTTCCCTTTCCGATGGCCGCCCAGCAAAACAGCTAGCTTTGATCCTCTTGATGGCAACATCAGAACCTCTCCATTTCCCATGATAAACAGCACCATAAGTCCCAGACCCTAATTCACGAATCTCCTCCAGATCGTCATTTTTAATTGTCTGAACAGGAATCAAGAATCAAATCATATGAGTGAAGAGCCTAGCAAAGTCATAATAAACAGGAGGCACGGCCAAAGAGCCCTCCAGGAAATTGAACATCAATATATGGTAAAAGAAGATAAATATAATAATAAGTTTACTTGTAATCCCCTTGAAATGGCTTCTGCTTCAGCCTTTGTTGGCTCAATTCTGGAGCTTTGATGGTCATTATCAGTATCCAACTCGGGTTCCCCATGGGCATTCTATATGACAGAGAGCAAAAATAGAAATAAGTACAATGAAAAATATTGTCAAAGGACTGAGAAAATTGCTCAATTGTCTAGTCCTAACCAAGGAGTCGGGCTCATTTTCGGTTTCCTTTTTTTCCATTGAATCAGGCCTTGCTAGGGCGGTTTCTTCAATTATTGCATCTTCAGATACTTCTAATGCTGCTCTCTTCACAGATGCAATCAACTCGGGTAAGAATCTCAGGCGATTAACAGAAAGTTGAGGATCTTCAGCTGGTTTCAAGCCATCACCATTCTCAACTGGAGTGTTCATGCCATTTGAATTTAACGACTCAGGGAGTGCAACCTTGGAATATGTATCATCAGTGTTATTCTGCTCTGGATGAGAAACACCGTGTGCATCGATGTTGACTCTCCCAACATCGGTTATCACGTGTCCGTTTCCTTCTCCATGCAAAATTTTTCCTTCCATCGTCATAGCTTCATTGACCCCACTAACAGCCCTTGGTAGTGGATTTTGGCTAGAAGGAAAAGGTGCAACCAATTTATCATGCATAAACACTGAAGCTGAATTAGACCTCTGGAGAACCTCAGGAGAGGTGACAAGGTTTATCTTATCCAGCTGTGGTTGAATTCGTTCAATGCTCGAGAAGCGCTGATTGTCATGGCCAACAGCGGTTGAGTTAGTATTCAAAGCATGTGCAGGTACATGCTCTGAACCAGTGGCTCCCTCAATACCCAGCAATTTTTGTGAGGACTCATGCCAAGGATTTTGGTGGTCCATACCGATATGGACCCGTGGACTACCCTCCTGCATACCCCTGATATATCCTGGATTAACAGGAGTATTCCCTTGCTGAAGGGACATGGATGCTTCGTAAGGGGTAGCAACATGTACTGGGTTCTGAACATTTCTCCACAAGGAATTTCCAGGCATATGCCTGTGTGCCATTGGAGGATATTGAGGATCGCCTCCATATGCATATGGCATATTCATATAGCCAACACCGCGTTCTTCAGGAGGAGGGATACCCATATGTGACCCACTAGGCACCACTTGGTCACGGAACACCTCATCGTGAAAATTCATCGATGAATGGTAGCCATCAGCTAAATTACTTTGTGCAGGAGGAAAATTTGAGCCGGAGCCATCCACAATATAGTGATCATTCAATCTTCCAGCCCCAGAGACATGTGCTCTCGTGTCATCCCCCCGCACGTTCAACTGATGTTGCATAATCCATCCGCGCTCATGGGGAGGTGTCTCATTATAAGCAGATCGATGATCATTCATATTCTGCTCATTTGGGAAAATACCATGATGGAACTTCGCATCTGCCTTTTGAATGAAGGCCTCCCTATTCTGAGGGTATTCAGTGGGAAGTCCATTCAACATATTCCCTTGCTCCATTGGTGTTTGATACCGATGGAAATTTCCCCGGCAGTGTTCACAAGAACTATTCCCCTCAAGGACACCGTGTCCATGTAAAATGTTACCCGGGAAACCCGACTTTTCACTAATTGCTCCATTTGGCAGCCAGACAACATTCTCATTATACTGTGGTTGATGTTCATACATATGCTGGTGACTCATTTGCTGCCTTGCATACTCTTCAGGCATTCTTTCCAAATATTTATCTGGCACATCTGGGAATGGCATACGGTACCGAGAAGGAGACGACGGATATTCTCCCACCGGTCGTGGATCAAAGTGACCGTGATGCCTGGGGGAAAGATAAGCAGGACTCCAGGGAGCTTCCATTTCATTATACCTTTGAGCTACAGATTGTTGCTGCTGCCCAGATCCAGCATGAGGGACTGTGAGCTGATGCAGGTGATATTGTGACAAGGGCTCACAACTCCTCTGGGTGTGAAGACTACCTTCAATATTCATTGGATTCAAAAAATGTTCCATCCCGTGCATATCATCCATGCCACTAATTACTGGGGAATCAGGCTGCTGCTGTCTAGCAAAATCATTCATTTCATTTGAATTATTAAGAGCATCTACATATCTCCTCTCAGTATCCCTCTCATCCCCATCAACAAAAGGCAAAGAACCATCTTGATCAGGGTGCGAAAACAAGAATATCCTAAGTCGAGTGAACCCGTCACCTGAACCCACCTTATCATACTCTTCCATCATGTTAATCACATCATCATCATTGACAACAGACACAAGAGCATCAAGATCCTCATCTGGCTGCTGGTACTTCAATACTGCAGCCCCTTCATAGAGTTCCCTCATCTTAAGCATCAACTCCTCATATGTAATATCCCTCGGAACACTCACAATCCTTGTCTCACCCCCAACATACCGAAGCTTGCCATCTTGTGGGCGAGGCATTATGCTTCCCAAGAAACTGCATAGGAATTTAACGCGCGGGTTTTCGTCATTAGAACCGGGATTGGAGACAGGAGAGGAATTAGGGGCTGAGCTCGGGGTCGTGGAAGGGCTATCCATTTTGAATGTCACCAATCGATGGAGTTCTTAGTCTTGCCCAAACATGGAATTCAATCACGCAAACCTAATACAAAACCAAAAATTTTCTAATCAACCCAGATAGCAACTCCAAGTTTCTTGGCTTTCAAAGAACCAGATTCTTCGGTTCTCCCATACCCATTAGATACATCATCAGGAATCAAAAAAACTATCCCGACAAAATCATTCTAAAGGCTAAAAAAAAAAAGTAGTAACGAGTCACCCAAAAATGGCCTGAATCATAAAAACACAACCCCAGAAAAAAAAATGGAGAAATTCTAAGGAAGACACAGATCAAAATATCATTCAAATCCTCCAATTCAGAAACAGGCGGGAATTGGGATTTGGGAATTGGGAATTGGGAATCGAGTACCTGAAGAACGAATCAAAAGACAAAAAAAGAAAATACCCAGATGGGGATTTTGAGGCTAAAGAGTATTTGTGTACAAGTAAGATGCGTGAGCGCAATCCCCCTCGTGTGTGCGGGAAATTAGATGATGGGTTGAAGGTGAGGAGTCCGAGGGAGAGAGT